GTGTATACAACCTACACATGCGCGTGCCAGCCCAAAAACGGTAACCATAGCAGTCAGTATAGCATATTTCATAGAAAACGGAAATTGATTTATGTTAAAAAAAATAAGATCGACTAGCTTATAGAAAACGTTGATTTAAGTATTCACTTCATGAAAAAAATAAATAACTATCTACCTAGTTACCTACCTCATTGTAACAATGTTTTACAATATGAAAACAGTGATGAACACAATTGTAGTTAGCTTACAGAGAAACTACTACTGAACTGGTGGATTGCTCAACTAATTATTTGTAAGCACGTATTCTTTTCTCTTTGCCTCTCTCACCATCTTTCGATGAGGCCATTCACTGTTAGCCTCAGCAATGTCGGCGAGTGTGTAAGTAGTTTGACTAGTATTCTCACAGCAACCAAAATTAATAAAAACAAAAAGCCTATCCTAACTGATAGGTGGTAAGTTGATGTGGTGGTTGGACTCGCATATCACAATGATCCAAACAGCTGGACTGGTTAAGATCTTTAATTAGTGGATGGTGACTAGCAGTGGAATCCAGGATGCTCATTTAGTCCTATTTGGGACTTGTCAGCTGGATGTACCTGCCTCCAAAGCCTCAGGATGGTCGGGGGTGGGTGTCTTGCGCTGCGGGTTGGCCACTCCTCCGTACACCTCTTGAAATGCTCCCATATGACCGGGCGTCTTACATAGCCTCTCCTGAGGAAGTCCTACTCACTGCCTCCACGTGGCGGAGGTGTTTTTCACCAAAGTGAGAGGGCAAAAGCGGATGCCTGGCGCTCTTCATTGGGTTGACTGTCCATTGGATGACAGTCTAGGGGAGATGGCTAAACCCTGATTCCAAACCTCCAACGACTGGCGTATGAAGCTCACTGGAGCTCACCGGCAGACGTATGGACAAAGGGCTTATTGGATGCCCTGGATGACTGGCCCCATTCAAAAAGGCGAATGAACCGGATTCCGGTCACCGGCTGCCAATGGATAGTGGACTCCCTACTCCACTCCTACTGCCTTGTAGGTCACACTTGGTTGTGTAAAGGCTAGAGCTGCACTCTCAAACAAAGGCCGAGCGATGCTGGGGACATCGCTCGTACCCAATTCCCATGAAACTTCATGGTTCATGAAGCCGGCTCATCCTCCCGTAGGAGATAGCCGAAGTAAAGTAAAGTAAGTACCTGCATATCTCAGAGAGTGATGATGTCCCCACCGAGGCTCGAACCCAGTACCCATAGCTTCAAACACCAAAGCGCTATACAACAGACCACGAGAGCCACCTCAACCTGAGACCAAGCACTCCGGTCCAATCAACCGACGGGAAAATCTCAAATTCGACAAAACTAGTTAAGATCGTTTGGATAGCGATTGGACTAAAACCACTAACCATCATAATGAAACTTGTTTACACTATGTTGCGATGGGGCGGGGGTGGGGTATAAAGGCTAAATCGGAATGTTGACAACAGTAAGGTATTTGCCTCAGGTGACCAGCATATTAAATGAGCTGCCTCACCGCACTGGAGATGGGTGGTTAGAAAAGGTTGACTTCGAAAATTATCCACTTCAACTTGACTCTCAGCGGTCCACAGCCAACGGTGAGATCTTAATACGGACACAACTTCAGAAACCACTTTAAACATGCCACGGGTGACCGGCCTAAACATTAATACTCCTGTTTCAGGTAACCCAAGAGGAAATTAGCCTCTACGATTTGGACAGCCGGGAAGTAATAATCACACACATATAGAGTTCGAGATGTGCGTCATTTGCTTAAGTAGTCGGTCTCAGGTTTGAGTCCTATACTATCTAATTCAGCCGTGACGACTGAGTAGTATCATCAATCCTTATGCAGTACGTTTGGCTTTTAATTTGGCAAATGGGACACCTACTCCGGAAAATTGAGTTCAAACGTGATAAAACCCATAATCAATCACAATGGCCAAAATACATTTAAACTTTATTTTAATATGCTATAATTTTGAAAGGCAAAAAAATGAGAACATAAATCCAATGGTACTACAACAGACGAAGAGTACTGGATGCGTTTAGTGCTTTAAAGTTTCTGTAGCAACTGGATTGTTTTTCTGGGGTCTGTCTGTCTGTCTGTCTGTTTTCGACATAGAACTTTGCACAAATGTGCGGAAGTTCAAGTCGCCACACTCCGTGTAGCACGCGAAGCAAGAGAAGAAAGTACAAGAAAAGCATAATAGAAACAGTGAGCAGAGGTGTGAGATAAAGGAGTAATAAAGAAATACAAAACAGTTTCATTGAAGATCATAAGTCACAGGGAGTGGATGCATCTGCGCCACTGAGAACGGTTTTGAGCCATGTCACCAATTGTTTCCAACCATAGATTTTTACCGTCCCGAGGACCCCAACCTGGAAGTCTACACCTTTCTACGTGGCTTAGACCAACTGTTGTGGATTTCATTGACTGATGCCAAGTTTTTGTTTGACCGCCGCTAGCTTTTTTCCAGCCTGACCCTATATCCGCTAACATAGCTCGTCGAGGGAGGCGATGGCTTGGCATACGTAACACATGTCCTAACCACCTCAGTCGATGTAACTTCACGACTTCGTCGATTGATTTCCCCTGTTTACCTAGCACTCGACGCCTAACCTCCATGTTGCTCACCTTATTATGCCACTTTACACGGGAAATAGAACGCAGGCACCTATGATCAAAGACAGCTAGTCTTTTCATGTCTTCCACTCTCAGTGGCCAGGTCTCACAGCTGGCCATAAAGGAGGACGGAGCGGACTGATGAGCAGTACACCCGCCCTTTGGTCGATAGTCGAACATCTCGTCTACGCCAGAGTCGGCGTAAACTAACAAATGCGAAACGAGCCCCTTGTATTCGTGCTGAGATTTCGTCAGAGATCAGCCCGTTGGGGCTGATGGTACTTCCCAAATAAGTGAAGCGGTCAACGTGCTCTACCACTTCACTTCCTATTTTTAAACTAGGTGTCGATGTAGTCCAGTCCTGTAACATCATCTTGCATTAGGCGGCGGGAGCGAATCGCATGCCAAACATTCGTAGATTACAGCTCAAGATGTTCAGAAGACTCTGCATTTCGTCGGCGTCTTCGCCTAGAAGGACTATATCGTCTACATATTCCAAGTCAACGAGATTATTCCCTGGTAGCAAGTCAATCCCTGAGTCGCTGAAGTCACTCAGGGTTAAGTCAATTAGTACATCTATGACGAAGTTGAATAGAAAAGGGGATAATGGGCATCCTTGACGGACACCATTAGTCGTCACCAGTTCAGATGACAACTCGCCGTAAGCCCTCACCTGGCTGTATTAGTACGAGTAGAGTAGAATCGCCAGCTGTACACGTCTAATCTCCCCTCTTTTCCCAGGCTTAGGACCTGCTAGTAAACTAGGCAAGGTATCACACTGAAGAGATAATGTGACGAGGAAAGCTTATGAGTGGTCGTGGAGCCAGCTAGAGAGGACTGTAAAGAACACGATGAAATGCAGATGTGCTAGTCAAGCCCTATATTCCATGAGGGACCCAATCGAACATTCCCAGCAACTTTAAGATAAGGATTGAATAAATATGCGCCATTATAAGCGGTTCTCAGCCAATGTTCAAACAGGGTAAATTGCCTCAACAGGGTCCATTTAACTATGTGATCTATTATTAGAGCCTTTAAGTGACAGAGCTTTAAATCTGAAATACTGGCGTGGATTCATTTTCGCCTTCATTTCGACTTGATCATAATATATTATCTTATTTGATATATTTTCAATTATTTAATCTTACAGCACTCTGTTTTTTTAAGTAGTACATGTAATGCAGACATCTGCATACTTTGTGTTTGACGGAATCAGTCTGAAATGAATGCTTGACCCAGAGTTTATGCTTTTTAGGATTCATCAAGGTTACCCGCAAACTTGATGAAACGTCTTTTACCTCTGCGATAAGAGCCTTTATAATCCAGGAGAAAGAATCCCGAACAAAAATATGGAGACCTGTTTATTCTCTACAAATCCCAAAAATGCTAATCTAGTTGTACAACTGGTTAGTATTGTCACCTGACAACAGTTTCGACTCCGCAACAATTAAGTAATACAAAACTGATATCACTTGTCACAGCTGCGAGATATGACTATTGAAAGCGAAAGATATAAAAAGACTGAGTGTCATTGATGTTGAAAGTTTGCGCTGTTTCTCATGTTAAATAGTGTAATATAGTAATAATGAGGTTAGGTGTAAGTAAAGTGTTAAGTGAGTAAGGAATGACAGTCGGTAAGGTTCTGAAGCTACATCGATTCATATGGTTAGGGCAAGTGAGATGCATGCTAAGCCACCGTCTTCTTCGGTGGTCATTATTAGCCGACATAGGATCAGTTGGGAAAAAGGTAGGAATAAGTCAGACTAATAACTTGCAACAACTCATGAAGTATTCGACTGTTGTTTTGAGCCAGCTACATAGGGAGAGGTATAGGCTTGCTGGCTGAGGTCCTCGGGATTCGGAGAACCGATGACTTGGCATTACTGGTGATAAGGTTCAAAACTATTCTGAATGGTGCAGATGCATTCACTTTTCTGATAACCCATATCCACTAAGCTGTGGCAAGTTGAACTGTTGCACTTAAGTACAAAGTCCTACGTTGAAGCTCAGTTAGTCAGTCATACGGCATACCTAAAGTACTTAGAGGTGTGATTATTTATGCTGAGGAGTTTAGCTATACGCAGACACTAAGCTTTAATCATTTACAAAAATCATGTGGAGTTGTAGCTTATTGACCCAGGCAATCGAATTCTAACCACTGGGTCGTGGGTCCGAAACTTCTGAGGTTTGTGCAGCCAGATATTATCACTAGCCTAAACACAAAAGGTGTGGCTCATTGCCCTATGTATGGAGTCGCAAATTGTTATTAGGTTACAAAACTCATCAGTCGTATGAGAGGACAGAATAATAATAATAATAGTATGAAATTAATGTAAAAAATAGAAATTGATATTAAAATGTCTGACTACCTTGAGTACTAGCATCATCGACAAGAATAATCTCTTCAAGTATTTCTGATGGTGTACGGTCAAGAACAGAATGTACAGTACGTAATAATGTTGACCAAGCTTCATTATGAAATACAATGATGACACTGGTTTTGTAGGGGATCAATTTGCCCAAAGGTATAACACGTGGACAACTGGTAAACATGAGGAAAAACAAGACAGAATAAATTATTGCAATACATGATAAAAAGTAAGACAACTCCAGGTGATAAACCACTAGTAGATGAATACAATGAAATTTGCAAATGAGCAACACATTGCACTACTGGAAATAAGTTCAGTTAGCGATTTCGGTTAGGCACTTTGGTCTGACCACCCTTAATACTGTTTTTGATGTGGCCCTACTTTAGTTTGTCCGTGTTGTTCATCGAAACAAGCAGTGGTTAGGCATGCATAACAGTACAAACTCCGTACATTATAGGGACCAAGAGAAGCGCCAAACCACAATAGGAAAACAGCAATACATAAAGGATATAGGGATAGAATAAATGACGGAAGTCATCCAGAAAGCAAGTAAGCATACCTGTCGAGATCATTCAACAATCATCGCGTCATGTTACTTTCAGAAAGGGAATAAAGAAGGAAACTGCAGCATGTTCGCCACTGATTGCAGTTCTCCTCCATATCTGATAACGTTTCGAGCCACCGATTCAAAATATCTTTCAAACCCCACTCAGAGAGTCTTGGATGCTAACCTAACTCAGACATATTTCACCTCACAACGCCATGTCACAGGCTGACCACTTCCAGCTTTTTCCATCCAGTCTCAGGACTAACAAACAGGAAGCGGTATGGAAGCCTCTGGAATGAAATACGTAGCACATGTTTGATCCACCTAGGCCGGTGTTTTAAAGTGATCACAAACAATGAGAGACAATCTGCACTGTGCCTAAACACATTCTGCCAGATTTCAGAAGTACTTGCAAGATAATGCAGTCGGAGGCGGCGATGATAGAATATGCAGAGTCGCCATACATCTACAGCTCAGAGAGGCCAGATTTTACAGGCGTCGAGCAAGAGTGAGCGCAATGAAGCGTTGTATACACCACCTTTGACAGCCAGGCTAAAATGGAGACAGTGCTAAAAATAGACCAAGTTAGCGTATGCCCTCTCACCTAACTTTCACTATTTAAAAGATAATTAGATGAATATTCTTGAAAAAAAGGTGGGAAGAGGGAGAGAGTTTACAATTTTGGATAGAAGCAAAGTCGAAATAGAAATAAGTTGGTACAACAGAATGTATGACTACAACAGCAAGAAGAGTAAGGCAAGTGATATCTGTGCGTCGGTGGCACAGTGGTTAGGACTCTCGCCGACCATGCACACGGTCCGAGGTCCGATCCCCGGCCAACGCACACCTGATATCTATGGTCAGCCTGCAAAACTTGGGCTACAGTTATCCATGCTGAAAATTCCATACTTGTACCAAAAATACAGTGTGGAATCAAGCTGTAATCGGAAATTAAATTCTTAAAAAAAGAAATTAAGATATAGAAGAATAGACAATGTCATAAAGATTGTATACAATCCAGACAGTATAATTTCAACCACAGGCAGCACGCATGAGGATGTCAAAACCAGAATCGGAAAGGCAAGGTACACCTTCATCAATCTGAAATCAGTTTGGAAATCTTCCGCACTTAGCATCAATAGCAAAATTCGAATTTTCAACACCAATGTTAAGCCAGTCAGTTATTCTATGTGGGTCAGAAACTTGTTAGCTACTTCACGAAAAGTATCTCCGACAGGCCTCAGACTTCTGTCAGCAAGTTGCCTTCGTTCCACACTAAAGATAAGATGACCACAAAGAATTAACAGTGAGAAAATCGAGGGAACTAGCCAATCAAGAACTTACTGCTCAACAAATATTCTATAGAAAATGGAGGTGGGCCGGACATATAATGAAGAGACCGGCGAGTGATATCGTGCACCAAGCGATTGAGTGGAATGCGAATGGGGAACAACAAGTTGGGTATGTTTCCGAGGAGGAAATGGAGGAGATTGTGTCAGGAGGAAATGAAAGCTTACGGGCAGTCGTGGGACCAGCCAAAAAGAACAGGATAGAATGGAGATGTCCTCTTGGAGGCTTATGTTCCACTAGGAACTCAAAGGAATAATAATAGTTTGTTTTGTAAGTATTATCAGTAAGGTAGTGCAAACCTCGCTAATGTCTCTTCCTGAGTACATAGATTTGGTTTCAACCGTTTGATGATGATTGCTTCAATAAAAACGTAGCAGTCTGGGGTTCTTACTTCTATTAATTACTTTGAATGCCGCAGGCTGTGTCATATATGACATGCATTCGTACTGTTTAGTAAATGTAAGCCACTTAGTCCCAAGTATTGTAGTATACATTGAGAAATGTCAAAAATAAACCCTTTCCTCTGTACATGTAAATTGGTTGGTGGAGGTAACGTAAGATGGGAATTGGTCAACTTCTGAGTGTCGTAGAAGCATACAACCTTGGCAACTGGATATGATCAATCCCCTCTTTCCTTTAATTCTGGTCGAATTCTGGACTCTCTGTCTCTCCTCTTTTTAAGGATATTCGTTCGATTATCTTATAAATAGCCAATCTTTTTAAAACTAAATAATTTGACTACTTACATTATTCAGGATATGTGTTGCTCACTAATAATAGTTCCTATCAATAAGTTGTTGTCAAAGTGACAAAAGTACGTTAAACCCGTTTGGTAGTTTATATATATATATATATATATATATATATATATATATTGACATCATTTAGTTTATAAGCTGTTGAGAGGAGGAATACACCCCTCTCCAAAAAAAATAATACCAAACGATGCTTGACAGCAAAGGGAATGCCGAAAATATACATTGCACTGATCAGGACACTCACTCTACTCGAACTCATGCAACCAGGTGAGAGCTTACGGCGAGTTCTCAACTGAAGTGGTGACAACCAGTGGTGTCCGACAGGGATGCCCACTATCCCCATTTCTACTCAATTTCATCATAGATGTACTAGTTGACTTAACCCTCACTGACTTCAGTGACTAAGGAATTGACTTCTTACCAGGGAATAATCCCGTCGACTTAGAATATGCAGATGATATAGTCCTCGTAGGTGAAGACGCTGACAAAATGCAGTCTTCTGAACACCTTGAACTGAGATCTGCGAATGTTTGGCATGCGATTCGCTCCCGCCAAATGTAAGATGATGCTACATGACCGGACTACACTGAAAATCCAAAACTCAATTAAATAATTAATATGACTCGTTGCACAAGAGGTGACTCTCGTGGCCCGAGTGGTCTAGTGGATAACGCTTTGACGTTTGAAACTATGAGAACTAGGTTCGAGCCTCGGTGAGAACATCATCACTCACTGGGGAATGCAGGTACATCCAGCTGATGAGCTCCAAATAGGACTAAATGCGCATCCTGGATTCTACTGCTAGTTACCATTCACCAATTAAGGTGGAGATGTTATGAGTGAAACATACAAATTACTATATAAAATTACATAATAAACTAGTCTTTTATCTTCTCTTATTTTTAATTTATGGTGACGTTATTTCAATTATCTTACAATTTCAGTTATTTGATGATATTGGATAGTTGGAGGTAATCGGCAGGAAGCCTTCGACCGAAGTTTCGTGCTAGTTGGCACTCATCAGCCAGCAAGGCGTATCTGCAACCTTGAAGGGACTCATTTCCCTTCTCAGAGTCGAACCCACGTCACCCAGTGCTGCAGTCAGAGACGTTACCGCTGAGCTATTCGGGCTCGCAATTCACCTCCTATAGGACTGTAGTGAGTAGTTTGATTGGACGCTAGTAACTAGTGTGACGTGTATAATCCTCTCTTTGATGCAGACTGAATTCTATCAGTCAGGTTGTAATGTGGCCACCATTCTAGGTGGCTCGACATCACGGTGCACATTGATTTTATGATATTGGATATTTCAGTTATTAAAACTAAAATTATCATTTTTACACTTTTTGTACATTTTTGGGCTTTAATGTTACTGCTGATGCCAAAAGTTGCTATTATCAACTTTGGCTGCCTATAGCTTGAAATATATATATTTTTTTGCTTTTGGTGTTATTCAGTAAATTAGATGAAATATTACATCAAATGTTGAGTATGCCATGTTGTATTATAACTACTGTTTTGGAGTAAATCAAATCATTATTATTGTTTGTGTATGAGAGAGCTGTCCAAACCCCTCGGTAGGTGGAGTGGGGCTCTAAATCGTTACCGACTGCTACTACTGGTTGGAAGTTGAGAGCTTACACCAATAGAGCCATAGATCCAAAAAAACACATACTAGTGTTTAATTATAAAAATGAATCCTTATTGTCGCATGCAAGAATTTATTTCATTGAATGAACCAAAGGAAACAAAATGGAATTTTCATGTGCTGGTATGGAGGGATTTGATCAAAATCAAGTTCAACGAAGAGCTTACATGTCAGCTAGAGAACCACTGAAAACCAAGGAGTGTTGGACAGCCGTTCCGTCCCTAATTCGTCCTCCTTATCTGTATACTCATCAACCCCCCCCAACACATCAGAGGATCAAACCCAGGACCTTCAAGTTAAAAGGCGACCTTGTTTACCATTCAGCCACTTCTTGGACAGAATCCAGAAGCGCATTACTTCTAACTTTTGTCAATCCTCAATAAATGTATATAAGGCCGCCACCAGCCAATTTGTTTTCACAACCAACTTGATGGAACTCGCTACCCACAACTTCATCCTGTGGTCACTCATCACTGAGTACTAGAATAATACTGATATAGAAATCAAGTCTGAAGTTAAGTATCTTGGATTAATTCTTTCTTCTGACCTATCCTGGTCTTCCCATTGTTATGTACTCGTCGCTGAATTATTATTATGGACTGGTCGAGAAACTAATAGTCCTGACGCGAGAAGGCGGAAATCAGAAGACCACTAGGTTTGCGATGATACTTCTATTGTCCAAACACAAGGAGACGAAAATAAAATGGTCTCATACCAAAGTGATAAGTAAGTAAAGTAGTTGTAAAGTAAAGTAGTTCACACAAATTGTGAATGCGAATTTATATAAATAATTCAGACAAGCGTGGGAAAAATCATTAGACAGTCTTAACATGAATGGCTAATTATAATGGAGTGTCGATCCAATTA